AAAATAATGACAACAACAGAGGGCATTAAGAGGACTTTACCCTTATTTAGGAAGACAGCCAGACAGGAATGAGGACATCCTGACCATGTGTGTTATCCCCACAGGGTCTGTTCTCCAAGTCCAGTGGCACTTCTTCTCCTGAGTCAAGTCCCACTGAGGAGCATCCTTTGTGGGCAGCACAGACCTTGGCTGTCTGCTTGCTGGGTGCTGTCTGTACCATCTGACTTGTCCCGTGGCCGATCCTGCCAGCAAGCTTCCCGCTTCGTTTCACTCCTGTCCTAGGGGGATTTCTGCGGGGCAGAAATGAGTGGTTTGTGTTGTTGCTTTGTAGAAGGCATCTGTAACTTAGAAGGGATGCTTTTTTCTGTGTGTGCCTAAACCCCTCCAAACCGTTCTCTTTGGAAATGTAAATAAAATGCAAAGCCTTGTGCAGATGTGTCCTGTGTTTCCTACCAGCTGTCACTTCTGTCAAACTACCATCCCCCGGTACATGAGGGTGAAGGACCTTGGCCACCAAGGCCACGCTTCAGTGCAGGGAGATGAGCTGCGTTTCTTTGGCAAGGCTTTGAGATGAATCTTCCCCCATCTCTCTGTCTCCCCCACCCTGCAAAACCTCAGCAATCCTGCCATCACTTGGAGCTAAATCCCAACATCCTTCCTTCCCTCCCACAACATCCCCTTCTCTCCTGGATTCCCAGCACCGTGTCCTCTCCTGTGAACAACCTGTTGGAATCCTCACAAGCTCCAGCAAAACAGGTGAGGCAGTTCTGCTCCTCCTTGCTTGGTCATGACACACTCCTGAGCTGAGGACAGAGGAGGAGGTGGGGATGCTCAGTTGGAGTACGAAGGCAGGACCTTGCTCACTTCTGATCCCTGTGAACTGTGGGGAAACCAGGACAAAGCCCTCACTGAGTGGGTGGACAGGAGATACAAGCTCTTCACAGGCAGGTTAGAGCCTTCAGGACAGGCTGAGTCCCACCTCCAAGGGACTCATTTCCTCCTGGACATACCACCCTTAGGAAATCCTGCTGAGCTGGGCACTAGAGGAAAGTGCCCCCTTGCCTGCTCCACACATTTTTTAAAAATCTCAGCTGTTGAAATAGTGCTCCTTTGGCTGAACAGTGCTTCTCCATCAACTTTCCACTTTTGATTATAAAACTGGAGATCTCTGAGCATCTGTGGTGAGAGGAGGATTGCCACCAAGCCCTGTGCTGCAGGCTCTGGTTGTGTTGTTTGTGTTGCTACAGGTGCTCTCTGAATCTGCCATATCACAAAAGTGAAATAACATCCTTCAGGCTGAAATCGGAGACTCATCAGCTCCAAAAGCCTCCATCTAAAATGAGCAGATGTTCTGCAGATGGTATGCCTGTATCCTCCCTCACCTCCAGGCAGCTCCATGCCTTGCTCATGTATTCATGTTGACGCCTTTAGCGGGGTCCTGATTACTCAGCAGCAAGTGAAGATCCACAGCACTCTAAAAGGAAGACAAGAGCAGGACCTTCCTGCCTTGCTTTTATTTTAGTGAATCTCTAATTACACAGAAAATAAAAGAGAAAAATTGTTGCGCTGTTTAACAGTGGAATGTACCGTGGCAGCTGAGATCTCAGATACAAGCCTTCAGCCGTGCATCCTGAGAAGGTGGGTGGAGCTGATAAATGGCTGGAAGGCACCAGTTAGGAATGCTGACAGTGTTTGCACAGCACATGGTGTTTGATTTAGGAGTGGTTCTTGAATTGCTGAGTCTCTTAAACAGAGGCTGACAATTCAACATATTAAAGAATAAAAACTTGATAAATACTTTTATGGATAGTACTACTATTTTCCAAACTGATGCACAGTCACAGAATCGCAGAGTGGTTTAGGTTGGAAGGGACCTGAAAGATCTTCCAGTTCCAAACCCCCTGCCTTTGGCAGGGATGTAACCTACTGGGTCAGTTTCATCAAGATCCCATCCAACCTAACCTTGAACACTTCGAGGGGTGGGGCAGCCATACTTCTCTGGGCAATCTGTGCCAGTGCCTCATCATTCTCTGAGTAAATGTATGTATCAGCACAGATATGTTCCAGCTCATGTTATATAAATATTTATACAATTTTCAAAAAGCACATATTTATTCCCCACAAAGTCACTATCAAGTTATTTTTCTTTGGTAAAACCAAATTTCTAAGCACTAATATGATTATTTTTATGATTCATATTGTAGTTGCTCATCCAAGGTCCAGGCACAGGCTAGTTCTTTCATGAAAAAACAGGGAAAGGATGGTCCCTGCCTGAAAGAATTTACAGGCTTGGAAATATCCCTTTTACATAGAATAAAAACTGTGAGCAGAGGAACCACACCAGTATGTTCATTACACTGAGGACAAGCCATGGTTGTTGTAGCAGTAGAAGAGCGTTGTGGACTCTCTGAGCTGGCAACTATTCCTTTTGCTAAAGTGGTAAGGATTTCTGTTGTGGAATTGAATGTCATTAGCCACCCTTGATTCTGATTTGGGGAAATCTCTCAGATGAGCAAGGTAAACTCATCTACTGCCCTTCACCCTGCCTGAGTGAAAAGCTTGTGTGAGCAGAGAGGTGATGGTCCACCCATCTTTTCATCTCTGCAGCTGCAGAAGGAAAAGTTACCACTCCAGCATTGAAGACATGGTGGATGTGAACTCTGTCAGCTATATCCAGGATATGATCTGAAACATCTACATAAGTCAGCCCAAAGAATGGGATTTGCAGCCTTTAGAGGTCCAGGACATGCAGATCTTCCAGGTCTCCCTGTTTTCTAGTAAGCATTAATCTTTTAAAATTTATTGCAAGTCACAAAACCTGGGGTCCCAAGCAGACCTCACCGGTGCATCCAGCACTGCCAGTTCTGCTGGTCTGGTAAAGGGAAAATTCAAGCATTTCTATTCAAAGCAGCACAGATAACTCAGACAGAGGTTACCTCTGAGGAGGTCCTCAGAGGATCCCTGAGGATGCTTAAGAGAACTGAAAGCAAAATGTAAGATGGGTTTAGTGATAGGTTTACCCAAATGCACAAAGCATTCAGGAGTCTGGGCCCAGCTTGATGGAGCCTTTCATGAGGACAGGCTTCAAGGGAAGTGAATCAGTCTAAATTCTAACTGGTTTTCCCTCTGTGCCTCAAGCTCCTGCTCAGATCAATGCTGTCTTCTGAGAGGATACAGATCCAGCAAAACTCCTGGGGTATTCAAAGCAAGAAAGCTGGTGTCCATGAGCATAATGCAGATTTTGTGCAAATTATTTCCTTATATACCATACTGACAATTTTCAGAATTAACATCTCCCCCAGGAAGATTTTTAGGAAGCGTTGTATTTGTCTGAGCCTTTTCTTTTGGTTGCTGGCAAAAGGAAGCATCTTGAAACAAAAGAGAGTGAGGCAAGGTTGGTAGAGGGGATAACACCTTTTATTTAGACCAACAGAAGCTGGAAAAATAAAAAGGGGAAAAAGTCCCCATGCAAGCTGAAGCAGAATCTGACAGACATGGTAATGCCTCATGTGCCATAAAACATGGATAGTTTTATCCGTCTGTATCAGCTGATCTAATAAAATATATTGTCTCTCATTACAAACTTTATGTTACATCTCTGGACAATCATGCCCATGGCAATTTTGCAACCAGAATGAAACGAAGACACAGAAGTGATGAGTGCCCTGAAGACAAATTTGGAAGCAACAGTGCACTTAGAATGACCTGGAATGAAGTAAAGGAGACCCTGAAGGGCTGTGGTCTGGTTCTGGAGAGGTTATTTAGGCTAGCTCTGATGTAATACTCTGTGTTTAATAAATTAACACAGACACAGAATCATCATAGAATCACAGAGTGGTTTGGAATTGGGAAGCAACCTCAAAGACTATCTAGTTCTATTCCCACCCCCCCCACCGCCGGCCCTGTCATAAGTAGGGACACCTTCCACTAGAACAGGTTGCTCAAAGCCCCATCTAACCAGGCCTTTAACATTTCCAGGAACGGGGCATCCACAGCTTTCTCAACCTGTGCCAGTGTCTCATCACTCTCACAGTAAAGGATGTCTTCCTTATACCTAATCTAAATCTCTCCTCTTTTATCTTCAAGATGCTCCCCCTTGTCCTGTCATGATGTGCTCAGGCAAAAATTCACTCTCCTTTTTTTATAAATCCCCCTTTAAGTACTTTCAAGTTCACCTTCACTACATCCTTGTGAGTGTTTTGATTTTGTGATAGTCTTACAACCACTAAATCTGTGGTGCTGCCCACATTCTATATTTGGTGGAGACAGGATATTGGAAACAATGTCATGCAAAGATAATAATCAAATATTTATGGTCAATTTAAGAGTTTATGTTCAAGCAGAGATTCAGGTTTGGTTTTATTTACCTTGCACAAATTACTCAGTGCCCAGAGATTGTATGTGTGAGGAAGAAAATGCCACCACCTTGGACAGATTGTAGACACACTGTCGATCTGTGATCAGTGTAAATGAAAAATGGGATCAGTGAAATTGTTTGGGATAAACTGCTTTAAAACAGCAGTGCACTTAGGCCAAAATGCTGTGAAAGTGTTGACTGGTTTTGATACAATCAGTTGTCAAGGCAGAGGTGGACGCACAGGCACACCTCACAGGGCTCACTGGAGGTGCCTCCCTTGGAAGGGATTATTCAGCCCTCAGTCGCCACTCACACAGCAGCGCACGAGGTGTGTGCTGGCAGCCAGCCTGAGTCCACCCTGCACCTTGCTGGTTGCCAGAAAACTAATGAGCAAATACTTCCGCTTGCAGGCTGTCCCCTCCCCTCTCCCTACACCTGCAGCTAGAACCAGCACTCTGCCTGGGACAACCTGGAACCTCTGTGGCAGCAGCTGGGCTGGGAGCGGGGGAAAGCTGACCCAAGGAAGAAAGACCAAGGGAAAGAGGATTGGAGCACAGCTGGGAGCCATCCTGCGTGTGGGGTAGGACACCAGCACTGAGCAGCAGGTTTTCCCAAACAGCTGAGCCCTCAGCTCCTGGGGAAGATGAGCATTTCATCGGAGCACAAGCCCCTTGGGAAGCAGGTCACCGGCAGCCTGCATACGGTGAGTAAGGTATGTCCTCAAGGGCACAATTCCCTCATGTGGGATCAAAGCACCCCTGCTGGGCTGCATTCAAGTGGGTTTTTTTCCCCCATATGCTAATCTGAAGACACCAGGCCTTGCCAAATATATCCCTAAGAAGAAGATTCTAGTTAAAAAGCTGAGCCTGTGTGCACCTGTTGTGTTTCTGGAGGGCCAGGTCTCTCACAGGCATGCAAGATCTGACAACAGCAAATTACCAGAGTGGTTCTTCTCCTTTGGCAAGAAACGGGATTCAATTAATACAGAATTTAATTGGTCAATTCCCTAAATAAAAGCCTGTTGTAGGTTTTGGGGTTTTCAACAAGTCTTATGAGTCTCTAATGATGCCAAAGCTGCCCTGTGTTGTTGACATGCAGGATCATCAGGTGGGAGCAGTAGTTTTTCTACCTATAAGGAAGATTATTGGCAGTCTCAGACAAGCAGCATGTTACTAGGTGGGAATCAGTGATGAGATTATTTCTTTTTACTCTTTTTGCTTTCAGTCTATTGCTAACCAGTTTGTCTTCTTGCTTAAAGCTGAACAATCTCTTCTCCAGACCTCTCTGTATTAAGAAAACCCAAGCTTCCTATGTTGCACTTTTCAGATGTAAGTTGCAAAATGCTTTCCTATGGAAGTAACTATTTTACAGATTAGTAAACTGGGGCACAAATGGATGGAATGACTTTCCTGAGTGTCTTGCTGGCTATTTACAGAACTGGGAATCAGCTGGTGCCAGTACTTCCCGTCCACTGGGAACCACTTTGATGCCAGGCTAAAACAATGAATCAAGATGCAAGAACATGAAGTTGGCCTACTGTATAAAGGAATAAATGTTATCCATTTGTATTAGTGACAAACAGCATGAAACATCTGACCTGCCATCTGACAAAGGAGCAAAGGCTCAAAAGCCTGAGACTCTCCTGTCAAACGGTCCCTGGTGGGGAGTGCTGTTGGTAGCTCTTGGACTAATAGCAAATCTCCTAGGGAGAGACTTGACTACAGAAACAGCTTTGGGCTGTGTTTTTCAGTAGGTGGAAATCACAAGATAGTGTCAGACAGAATAGTACTTGTCTTCTTGACCCAAGTGTAAATGATTGCTCTTGAAATGAAACTGCCCACACTAGTGCAAAGCAATATTCCAGCAGGCTCTTTGACCTGAACCTCCTCTTGCTTCCCTGGCTTGCTTAGGGTGTGAGCAAATTTCTGCTAAATCTGATCGTTTGCTCCTGTTTAAAGGAAAAGTCTCCATTGCACCAGGCTGTCTGTTCCTAGTCCCATCCTTTTGTCAGCTCTGTGCTCGTTAAATCCTCTATCAGCCAATCCAGCTCACTAAGATGAAAGAGAAGCAGAGCTGGCATGAGGTGATCAAGAGAGCACACAGAGAGGTACAAGAACAGAACAGGGAGAGGGCACAAGAGCCCTCCCTTCTCTTGGTGTGTGCTGTGAGATCAGCTCACGTCATCCCATGGGTCTGTAGCCATGTGATCCAGCTAAGCACTTAAGTACACACTTCACCTGAGGCATGTGACCAGCAGCACTGAGGCAGTTCCTTTTGTGATCAGATCCAAGAAAGTGCAGGTGAACTGCTGAAAAATAGGGTTGTTTATTGACTGACGCCTTCCCAATGGCAGGTGTGGCCTGGCCTGGCTTGTGACTTGCATTACAGTAGTGCTGGCAGGAGAAAAAGAACTCTCTCTTTCTTTCTTTCTTTCTTTCTTCCCTTTTCTTCTCATCTACTGAGTACTACATAAAATGACCAAGTGCAAAGGGAAGCTAGTAAAATTTTTCAGAACTGAACATACAAGAAGGTCAATTTAAAAAGTCCAGCTTTCCAGGCATTCAGGCCTCCTTCAATTCACACAATGGTGTTAATACAGAGGGTTAAAAAATGCGAACAAACACACAATCTTTACATTTTTCCATTTTAAGTCCATGTCAGGTGCATGAAATATTTCCTTTATTTCCTAACTAAAGCCATCACACATTTTTAGGCGCTTTGCTAAAGAGCTTCTGTCCTGCATCTCTGACATGATGGATTTTTGTGTCTTACTTCAGTGTTTGCAGCTGAACCCCTAGATGAGCGGAAGCCAATTCCACCTATTTATAAAGTTTTAAAGGCTTTAGTTTCTCCTTTAAAGAGGAAAGGACAGTTCAGATTATAAAAATGAAATAGCACAGCTTTGGGCTCTATCTTTGTCCCTCTGCACATGGGGTGGGTGAGAGCTCATGTACTGCTCTTGCTGTAGGTGGCCCACAGGGACAATGTTTGTGAGCTGCTTAGGAGATCAGTATTGGATCCTGTAGTCACTCCCAGCTTTCCTGGGCAGGGTACTTCTTTTCCCTCTTTCCCACCAGGAAAATGACATTTTCCTACATCCCAAAGATGAGGTGAGGACTTAGCCATTTAGAAATGTCCAAGTCTTTGCTGCTCTGGAGGTGAGAGCTGTATAAGCATCCTGCATCTGCTTTTTCCAATAAATGAGGTAGAGGTTCCCATCTGATACCCACAAAATGGGAGCTCATATTGCTCTTCACACCATCATTCCATCCTCCAGCTGTAGTAATTACATATCCTCTGAACAGAGAGAGACATAATTCTCCCAGGATTTTAGAAGCTGTGGGAAACTTAGAGGAAAGAATTCAAACAATTATCTCTCTTTCTGTAACCATTGTTTATAGATATGATTCTCCAGAGTGTGCTATTCATAGTTCACCAATAGTGTGAGAGAAGATTCCTAAAGGCCAATCAGGTTTTAGGTCCACCACTGTTTCTATCAGAACTGTAGATTTCTAAAAATAAAGTGTCTTCTCATGCCTTCTGATGATGGAGTCTCTGTATAGCCTTTGGCTGTCCCCAGTACAATCATCTATCTTTTCCTTGACACTTCCATGTTGATGACCTCAGACTGATAATGCACACGGCTTTTTGTCACTATTTTTTTTTCAGTTGTCACCAATTGTGGAGTTAAATGTTGGTGGGGAGATGTACACGACAACACTGAGCACCTTGAAGAAACACCCTGGCTCCAAGCTGGCAGAGATGTTCACCGGCCAGCCCAAACTCAGGACTGACTCCGAAGGGAGGTTCTTCATCGACAGGCCAGGCACCTACTTCAAATACATCTTGGAGTACCTACGCAGTAACCAAGTGCCCACCCAGTGCATCCAGGATGTCTACAAGGAGGCGTTGTTCTATGACATAGAGCCTTTGATCAAGCAGCTTGAGGACTCCCCACAGATCTTTGGGGAGCTCGTGGCGAGGAGGCAGTTTCTGGCCCGCGTGCCCAACTACAGCGAGAACATCGAGCTGATGATCCGCATCGCGAGGGCGGAAGCGGTTGCGTCCCGACAGTCCAGCGTCATCGTGTGCGTGGTCAGAACCGAGGAGGACGCAGCCAGGTGTCAGGATGCCTTGAACAGTTTGGACATGGATAAAAAATCCGTGGTAAAGTTTGGCCCCTGGAAGGCTGTGCCCAGTATTTCTGATCTGCTGGACTGCATTCAAATGGATGTTGAAGCCAAAGGGTACAAAATATCCTTTCAGCCCCATGTTGCTGAAAAAGGTTTTCGCTTCAAGTCGCACGACTTCTTCTACAAGTTCCTGTTCACCTGGTGGTAGCAAAGTGCCACCATTGATACGGAACATCGGAAAGCAATCACTGGAACAAATTAACCTGGACTGTGGAGAATAAACCACGAGCTATCAGAGGGATAGGAAGAAACACACAGGCCAACAAAAGGATCTCCTTTGGCTGTTTTCCATATCAAAGAACACTTAAGAGCCACTTTACTTGGGATTTAGGGGATAACTTTTTAGAGGTTTTAAAAGGCTCCAGAAAAAGGAGGAATTTTACTCTTCAGTGTTGCTTACTATTCATTCAGTTCAAAGAGATGGATCTGTGAATTGAGCCAACCTCACTTAACCCAAGGGAAATGAATAATCCCAAATATGCCTGGTGGACATGTAGAGTTGCTCTCTCAAATGGGAACAGGCCACATATGTGGAAATCCTGACTGAAACAATGATATTACCACATACTCAAATTAAATTTGGTTTCTAAACGGGAAGGCAAAAGCTGTTCTTCTCCTACCTTTCTACAATAGAATCTGGGTTAAAAGGAAGGATTCAGTGTCCTATGATCACTTCTTCTTTCTCCAGCAGACAAGCTACTCTCTAGTCAATATATTTATTACCATTATTTATTATTTGTTCTGAAGGAAAGACAGAGAACCTCAGCTACGGCCCCGGATAAACAAAAGGCAAAAATACCATCACTGATATGAGGAGCTTATAATCTAAGGACACACACTCCTCTTTCAGACCACACAATCTTAATCTTTTTCTTATGACACTCATTATTATGATGATGCTGTTTCTAACTACATAAGCTCCTGGAAGAATTGGGAAAACCTGCCATGATTTGGTGGGAAGGAAGTGGTGCTGAAGCAACAGCCTGCAAATTCTCTTTTACCGAACACAAGCTGCATTGTACAAGGCATTTTAAAAAAATCTTAGCATTTGAAAGTTTATTTTTATACTGGAAATGGCTTGGGTTTAATCACTCTGAGAATCATAATGGCTGATTTGATAAAGACCATATTTCCTTTACTTCTTGGAGGATGGATTTCTTCCAGTCAAGGACAATAACCATAGAATGATAGAATGGTCCCTGGGATTTCAAATAAATAAATTTTAAAATTTTTTTGAATTATGCAGAAGTGCTTTATTTACTGACATTTCCCCCTCAAGATCCCTGAATTCTAAAGACCTGAAGTTTTGTCTTTAGGATAACAGATTTGAGCCACTCCTAATTAAGCTGTGTTTCAGATGTGCTTATCCTAGCATGGACCTCCCCTCAGTGACAGCCGTGAGTCACTCCAGGCTGCAGAGCAGTTCTGCTCTAGGTGTGAAGGGACTCTGAGACCTTTTACATTCCCAGCCTTGGTAAGAATGGACACAGTCAGTGTCTGAGAGGACAAATAGGTTTCAGAAACAGGCTCTTTTGATCCTAACCAAGTGGTTGGTGGTGCTCAGCCTGGAAGAAGAGAGATTGAGGAGGCCTCCCAGTAGACAAAAGGCTGCTTTAAAGAGATCTGTTACACTTTGTCCATACTAAGGGTGGGGAAACTGGTTTAAGTCACAACACCAGAGATGAAAATTAGATATTAGGAGAAAAAAAAATCTGAGTATAGAATAGTTAAAGCCTCATACCAATCAACCTCTTAAGTCTATAGGACTGCTGCCATGAGAAACTTTAATTGGCACACACTCAAATTCTGTGTTCAGTTTGGGGCCCCTCACTCCAAGAAGGACATTGAGGCCCTGGAGTGTCCTGGAGAAGGGCAGTGGAGCTGGAGAAAGGTCTGGAGCACAAGTCTGATGAGGAGCAGCTGAGGGAGCTGGGGGTGTTCAGCCTGGAGAAAAGGAGGTTCAGGGGTGACCTTGTTGCTCTCTACAACTCCTGAGAGGAGGGTGCAGCCAGGTGAGAGACAGGTCAAGGAAAATGGCCTCAAGTTCTGCCAGGAATACCATCAGGAAAAATTTATTCACTGAAAGGGTCATCAGATTTTGGAACAGGCTGCCCAAGGAATTGGTCAAGTCGCCATCCCTGGAAGTGATCAAAAAATGTGTGGATGTGGCACTCAGGGATAGAATTTAGTGGTGGGCTTGGCAGTGCTGGATTAATGGCTGAACTTGATGATCTTAGACATTTTTTCTGACTTTAGTGATTCCACAATTCTTCTGGAAAGAATTTTTCTAATTATTTTCAATTAATTGTTTTAATTAATCATAAGCAGTATATTATTTATTAGCATTGTATTGGTCCTAAGTCACTTTTAGCCAGCACGTAGATAAGTTTCTTTACACAAACTGTTACTGTTAAAGTTTGATTGGGAAAATCATTGAAACTTTAATCTTTGCTAAACTAGCCCTGATATGCTTTGGTGAACAAAACCTGTGAGAGAGAGAGATGTATTTCTGAAAGTGGACACAAAAAAATGCAGAATGTGTAGATTACAAGGGCATTTTGCAGAAACCAGAAGATAACAGAGACTCCTCAGTATGTGCTGCAAAACTCCCTGTCTGGGAGAGAGATAGCAAAAATACTAAGAAATGGGGACTGGTTAACATGAGAAGCAAGAATAAATAACCAGTAGAGGACAGAATACTAATTGATGAAGGTAATTATGTCATTTAGAACCAATGAGCATTCATTTCTTTGTTTGCTAAAAAAAGTAGAAAAAGGTGGGAAAGTCAGCTTAAAATTGAATACTAGTGTTAGGAAAATTTATCTACAACAAACATCAGAGGTTTCTGTCCAAAAAAGAGACAGAAGGGTTCTTTTACTTTATTTGAATAAAGGGAGAGGCCATGGGGCATTCCCCTGGGATCTCTTAAATTTTTGGAGGACGAAGCCTCCTTTTTATCCTAATTTCCTGGGCACATTTCCCTTCTCTCTTTCCCCATTGGCTGAGGTACTGAAGATTTCCCTCTAATGTATAACCCACCCTTTTAATTTTTAATTCTTATGGAATTTAGGGGTTTTTCTTCCCCATTGCTTCTTTCATCTTTCAATGTCTAATTTCATTTATCAGCAAACTCAAAGTTTACTTGTAAAAGCAAATATCTTTTTCCATTCATCAATCAGTGGAATCTTTCCCATTGTTTCTTTTATCTCCCAGTGCTAGTTTTATCTACCAGCAGACCCACAGCTTGTTTGTAAAGACAAATCCGCTATTGCTCTCGCTAGTGAAACCTGGATGTACTTTGTGGGGAAAGAGCGCGGGGCACCCACCGTGGGGCGGGGCGAGTCGCGGCCGCCATGTTGGGCCCGTGTCCCCATGGCAACGGGAGGCCGCCGGACCATCGAGTGCGGCCTCCGGGAGGAAAGAGAGGTTGCGCCTGGGCCTCTCCCGCCGCAGCTCTATGGTTCCACTTCCGGGTTGCGCGGCGGCGTCATGGCGGCGCACCTGAAGAAGCGGGTGTACGAGGAGTTCACCAAGGTGGTCCAGGTAACACGTCCCCCTCGGGCCAGGATGGACGCTCCGAGCTCTGCCGTGTGGCGGGAGGTGCCGGCGGGTGAGGCGGAGCTGTGGGGAAAGCCGCCGGCCCAGCCCGGCGCCGAACCTGGGAGCTCCTCCCGCTCGCCAGGCGTCGGGGCTGGGGCGGCCCCTGAGGGGTTGGGGAGGAGCGGGACGGGTCGGCCCCGAGTTTAGGAAGGCTGGAGCTGCTGAAGGGGAGAGGTCTGAGGGAGGGTGTTCTCCTCAGGGTGAAGAGGGGGAAAGGTTCTGGAGTCTCCCTCACTTCTATGCAGTGTGCTCTGGGATGACCCTGCTTGAGAGGGTTGGACGAGGTGACCCACTGTGATCCCTTCCAACCAGACCCGTTGTGTTGGTTCTTTCACCTGAGCAGGGCCGGCACTGCTGAGGGGAAGAGCAAGCATCCCCCAGGCAGCGACTGGGGAGGGAATTACAGCGGCTGTCTGGGCTGCTCCAGGCCTGCTCCTGGGAGTGGGAGAAGCCGGTGTTTGCCCTGGATTCGTTGTGTTGGAAGCAGCTGGATTTTACCCAGCCTAGGGTTGGGAGAGGCCGTGTTTCATGGGGCTAGGGATTACCTGGGCAGGACAGTAACAGCCACAGCGGTCTGAGCATGGGTGTCTCCCTGAGACGGATAGATGAAGGAGGGGCTAGTGACTGCCCTAGGACACGGGAGCTTCCTTAGGCCTCCCCATGTTCAGTCTGGGCAGGAGTGGGTCTAGATGCACTGTTTCTGAGCCCGTCTCTCTGCCTACAGCAGCAGCATGAGGACCTGTCCACCAAGAAGCTGCGGCTGACCAAGCCCAGCAAGTCAGCAGCGCTGCACGTGGACCTGTGCAAAGCCACCTCGCCTGCTGATGCCTTGCAGTACCTGCTCCAGTTTGCCAGGAAGCCCGTGGAAGTGGAGAGCGTGGAAGGGGTTGTCAGGATCCTGCTGGAGCATTATTACAAGGTGGTGAAGCTGTGAGCCAGACATGCTTGCTCCTTCTGCTCCTGTTTGCTTGGTGTGGGATGTTGAACAGGGGCTCACAGGCTCCTCCTGTGTTGCTGACTCAGCCTGGGCTGAGAGTGAACAGCTGTAGCCCTTGAGACACAAGTGATTTCTGATTGTGTTACTTGGTCCCTGTGCTGATGGTTTCAGCAGCCTGTGACAAGTTATCCCTGCTCATGGCCTGTGTGCAAGTTAACTTGGCAAGGGACAAAAGACCTGTCAGGTTTTCCAGGGAACTGGGATTTTCCAGCTGGGAGCCCAGCTGTCTAGAGCTGTTTCAGCTTTATCTAACACTTTCCTGACTGATGTGTCCTTACCTTGTTGTTCATTTTCTCTAGCAGTGGAGAAACCTTTTAGCTCTTGCTTATGTGGTGAAAACCAGCACTTTTAAAAACCCAGAATCATGGAGTGGTTTGGGTTGGAAGGGACATTAAAGATCATCCACTTCTGACCCCTCTGCCAGGGCAGGGACACCTTCTGTTAGACCAGGTTGTCCAAAGCTCCATCCAGCCTGGCCTTGAGCACTTCCAGGCATGAGGCAGCTTCCCTGGGCAGCCTTCTCTGGGCCAGTACCTCACTGCCCTCTCGGT